AAAAGAAAGAAAGCCCTCTTTTAAATGGTAAATTATATGTATACAAGTAATAAAAGAGAGTATATAAGGTAATCAGATGCATTAATTTAAAATAGCTGAATGAATTACATAGCTATTTCAGAACAAGTAATTAGTATAGCAAATGGGAAATCTCACAATGCAGATTCTCACATCTGATTTAAAAAATAAAGATGGATTAGCACAGAGACATGTTGGGTGTGCATAGAGATGCCTTGCAGGCAACCCAGGATTAGACCAAGTGGCTGGTCAGAGAAAGATGTCATGTCCCCCTGCTGTAAAGCTCTGGGTACCAGCTGAGCCACATATGTAATTTTCTTTCTTTAATAAAAGGAAAATGCTGTGGTAGAGTGGCTTTCTACCAATGGAAGTAGTGACTGAGATTATGGAAGACAGAGAATGGGAAAACTGCACTTAATGTGTTCAATTCTAATTTCAAATTGCCCTCCTAATTTTCAAAATGTAACAAGTGTGCTCCATCATTCTCCTTCCTACTCAGCACTTGTTTTGGATGTCACTCACTTCTGCTCCCTCTGGCTGGAACTCTTCCCTTTACCCATACCAATTGCTTTGGCATTTTCAGTTTCACCTTAAAACAAATAATTTTCTTGAGTTTATAATTGAGTCACTATAAAACACTTTTGGGTATTAGGCCACATTCAGTCCTAGTGTAATTTCATAGGCTTGTGGAGCTGGACCCAGGTACATAGGCTGAATTTTACACACTGCATGTAGAATAAAAAACAAATTATAGTGAATATATTGTAATAGATTATTATTCTACAAGGGCTTATATGTGACCATTTCAGTTCAGGTGTGTGCATGGCAATGCATCGAACCAGAGATATTTTCCCCATAATTGCACCATTAGGGCAGCGCATGTGCCCTCAGCATTCTTGCACTTCCCGCTGAAGTTATAAAGAGGCACAAATACCCCTACCCTCCTTGGTTCCTTCTTCCTGCTTGTGGCTGGTCATCAGAGCATAAGTCTTTGTCACACTCTTTTCCCTTTCTCTTATCAGAGAATTTTTTCTACAAAAAAAATATATACTGTATGTATATAGTTAGTTTAGTCTAATTATAGTGATACTTGTATTTTAAAAAATGTTTTTGCTGGTTTTTGTTTGCTTTTGAGCAGAGGTGAAAGTAAGCTGGTACAATACAGCATACTGGCAAGAGCTGGTACGCCATGCCGGACTGGACCGGCTTCTCTGGCAGTGATTTAAAGGGCCCAGGGCTCCAGCCACTGCAGGGAGCCCCGGGCCCTTTAAATTACTGCCGGAGCTCGGGCAGCTGGGCTCAGGCAGGGATTTAAAGGGCCTGGAGCTCCAGCCCCTGCAGGGAGCCCCGGGCCCTTTAAAGTGCCGCCCCAGCCCCGCTGCCGGAGCTCCGGCAGCACTTTAGAGGGCCCGGGGCTCCCCGCAGTGGCCAGAGCCTTTGGCCCTTTAAATCGCTGCCGGAGGCCCGGGGCTCCTACAGCCGGGCTCGGGTGGGGATTTAAAGGGCCCGGGGCTTCCTGCAGTTGCAGGCGTCCCGGGCCCTTTAAATCCCTGCAGGAGCCCCGGGGCTCCGGCAGGGATTTAAAGGGCCCGGGGCTCCCCACAGTGGCAGGAGCACCGGGCCCTTTCAGTACCCGCCCGAGCCCTGCCGCCCCAGGGTAGCGGCGGCAGGGCTTCAGCTGTGATTTAAAGGGCCCGGAGCGCCGCAGCGGCCAAAGCCCTGGGCCCTTTAATTCACCCATGAGCCCCAGGGCTCCCAGTCACCTCTGCAGCTGGTAGCCACAGCCGGAGCCCCAAGGCCTTTAAATCTTGAAAGGCCACGCCTCTTCTGGTTGAGGCTACGCCCTCGCTCAGGACTCCGGCATACCGGTAAATCCTTTAAGTTACTTTCACCCCTGCTTTTGATTTCGGTACTGGGCATGCCTAAGTCCCAGGGCATAAGCCTGTTCTGGCTGTAGAAATTCTATTCTATTCAGTGATCCTCACTTCTGTTTTTTAAACATTTTGGGAGAAAGACACATTAGGTATAAGTGTCCTATTTGCAGGGGGTTTAAGACCAGAGCTAAGTTTTCTAGGGAGGTAAGGCTTCCAGACTGGAAGTTGCTTTGCATGCCCCTTAAAATCCAGCTGCTCAATACATGGGGGTTCAGACTCCACACTGTCCAGGAGCATACCACCAGACTTGACAGTATCCCCCTGCCAGAGGGAGTCAGAGAGAAAACTCCATTATCCTTCTCCGGTGCCAGATTTTACTTTTGGAATCAAAGTGTCAGGACATTCAAGCTATTTTTTAAATTTCCTCATGTCCAAATTTTCTTATTAAATGTTTATCTTCCACATTTTATTCTGAGTCATAGTGGGGGTGCTTGGATGAGTAAATTGGTATGATAGGTCTTCAATTCCCAATGGCTCAGCTGATTATTTCGGGAGATTTAGGTCGAGATTTAATGCTTGAATAGGTCCCCCAACAAATACAGTATCAAGAGAAGAAAACACTGAAAAGACTTTTTTAAGTTCTGCCCTGTGCTAAGAATTTTCAATGCTAAAATAATATTGCAGATGCTCTAAGGGGCTGAAGTTTGGTGTAGAGGCCAAATTTCAGCCTTAGTATTTTTTGAGGAGACTTTTAATTCTCCCAGTTTCTACCCCTGCCTCATTTTTACATGCCGAGATGGGTGGTTTTTCTGAAAGTAGTAGAATTTGTATAGCTTTTCTTACATTTTGGTCTAAGATCTATACTCTTCCAAATTATAGATTGCCTTGTATTTGCCTTTAGGAGGTGGAGGAACAACCCTGGGTACTCCTTATTTTCATGGTATAAGACCATCCATATTATTATAGTTAGGTTTGGTTTTTCTGTTACTCCCTGTCAATATGTTTTAACCAATGTAATCAACTCAGAGTGACAGATATTACCCAACAAGAAGATATGGCTATGATTTTAACTTTGCCTTTGGGTTTTCTACTTTGAAGATTGCCCATGTTTTTAACTATATTTGAATTAATTATCAAATCCTCATATTCTGTTAAAATTCCAGATCATGGAAACTGCTATCCTTAAAGGTAGATATGAAAAAGGTCCTTCACAGCTTCTTTTTTGCCCATGTAAATCTGGAGCTTTGGAAGATCTACCTCATTATAGAAAGATTATAGAATTTTGGATTGTAGAACTTTCCAGCTGCTGAAAGCAAGCTGAACTTTACCTCTTTTGTTTAAAAAAAAAAAAGATTTTTTTTTATCATCATCTCAAAAGATAATGATTTTAGTATTTTCTCAGTCCACGGTAGTAATTAAATCAATGCAATTTTTGCCCTATTAGCATTGTACCAAAGAAGAGAGTTTTTAAGTTCTGATTGACATTTTAATATATTATATGGATATTGCTGCTGTTTTAGATTGTGTGTGTTTCTCTTTCTGTATTTGCAAAAGACGTATGTCATATGCAATCTAGTAAAACTGAATAGAATGCTGCCCTCATCTTAAAGGATGTGAAATTGACAAAAACTTTCCCCAAGGGCTGCCCAGGATGCCCTGACTCTGTCTTAGCCTCCCTGCCAGCTCTAGGGCTGTAGAAGCAGAGAACAGGCACTCAGCCTCCCTGCCTCCCCCCAGCTCTGGGACCAGAGAGACATAACAGAGTTGGGAGAGGTGGGGAGGCTGAGCATACCCTAGTTCTGCAGCTGGAGAAGCTGAGCACTCCAGCTCTCTGCCTCTCCAGCCTGGAACTGGTCTTGGGGGTGGAAGGGAGGCTAATCACCCCAGTTCTTTGCTTCTCTGGCAGTCAGTATGGAAGGCTATTGTCAGTTAAATTGACATGAGTTTTTCAGATGGACAGCTGGAAAGCCAAAAAATTCCAAAATGCTTTGTTTTTTGAAAATCCTTTCTCCCAGGGTTCTTTGAATATTATCCTGATCTTGAATAAGTAATAAGTAATGTATGATGTAGTATGTTAGTTAACATTTTATTGTAACTTTGCCCTAATAAAAAGGTTTTTTTAGAGAGTCACGTTATGAAATTTTGTTCTGATTCAGGATGAACATACATACTCACTACTGTCAGGCAGGTTTGTGCTTGGCACAGCTGAGCCATGCCACCGCTGCTGGTACCTGTGCTACCGCAGCTACATTACTATTTATATTCGCATTAGCTCAATGAGAGCTAGCACAAATATGTGTATGCAAGCTGGGACTCACCCCTAGCTCCTAGTACAGGTGTAGCCTAAATGTCAACATTGTTAACTATTTCACTGTTCTTTGACGCATGTATAAAAGGAGAGGGAGTATCATACTATTAAAATTTCCACAATTTATTCCAGTGTTTCCCAAAGTATAGATTGTGCCTGTCCCCTCCCCCACAAGTTGATGGGGAAGAAGAGGTATGGAAAATGTTTACATTAAAATTATCTCTCCGTTGCAAAAGAAAAGGTGTGCGAAGACATGGCAACTCTACTTTTAGCTCAGTTTAGCAACTTGAGTTAAGGTTTGTAGGGCAGCCTGGAGTTGAACTTGAGCTGCTAAAAGTTGAGTTGCTGTGTCTTCACTGTTATTTTAAACCTGTGTTAGCTAACCTGAGTTAGGAACTCACTGGGTTTATGTATGTTTGTTTGTTAGTTAGTTTTTGCTTTGCAGTGTAGGCATAACCTAAGAGAAGGAGGCCTTTAATAAATGCGGAATGGTTGCAGGGGAACACAGTTTGTTTAATTTTCCTTAAGGGGGGCTCAACTTTCAAATGTTTGGGAATACTGCCCTAATTGTAAATATGAAGAGTGATGATTTAGAAATGTAAAGTGTGAATCAGACCTACAGTGAGGTTACTTCTCTCCTTTTAGAATCACTTATAAAAATTTGTCCATCGAAAACAATCCTTCAAAAATATGCTTTCAACAATTTTTATGTCTATGGGGATGACCTTATTCATACGCTGTTATTTTAATGTTTCAAGAAATGTGTCATATCTGCTCTAAAACGGTATTCTTTCCCTTAGGCCATGGGAAAACTCTGTGTGGTTTTTAATTGTTTTGAAGGTTTGGATTATCAGGTAAGGCATGTTATGTTCTTTATCTGAAATAACTTGGCAGAATAGTACTGCAAAGCAGAATAAATGTAATTCTCCAATACAATAACAAGGCTCATCCACTACTTACTGCAGGTATAAAGATAAGACTGCCAGTGCCATTTGCTCTTTTGGCTTTTTAATTCACTAACAGAGTGGTATAAATTGCTAAGGAACATATCTAAATAATAATTTAGAACTTCTCTGTTGATATCTGATTTTTTTAGACTGTGTCTAACCTATTAGAATTTAGCTTTCAAAAGGAAAAATATTTCATGTTTTTCCTCTTAGTTCTATCCTACAGCTACAGTACATTTCTGGGTTGAAAACTGTGATTATGATAATAATACAAGGTTTTTTTTTAAGGAAAAGTGAAGATAGTTAAATTTAGAGATCGAGTCAGGGAGCTGTGTGCAAATCTAGATCCAGAATCTGTTTAGATTAGGATCAGAGAATATGTTTTATCTAATTTTCTGCTCCCTTGAGTAAATAAGATGATTTCTTTCTCTTTTTTCTCTCACGCTCTTGTGATTAAAGGACATTGCAGTTTTTCAAGAATCAGTATTACAAAAATCATCTAAAGCTTCAGCAATTAATACTAATTTCTGTTCTTTTTTTCTGTTTTTTTTTTCTTAAGATGATGGGAAAATTCTTCTGTGGACTAGTTCAGTCTGGAACATGGTGTTGTTTTGATGAGTTCAATCGCATAGATATAGAAGTTCTGTCTGTAATTGCTTCACAAATTCAGACAATCAAGGCAGCAAAAGATAGACATGTTATCAGGTATTAGTTTTCATTTCCTTGGTTCTTTTGCAAGTAATATTGCCTTATAGAACTGGCAATTTACTGCTTTAGGTCTAGAAAGGCATTTGAATTTCTTATACCTGTTCCACACTATGGTTGATCCTGTGCTGATGATAACCAGATTTAAACATTCCTAGCAGGGTTAAGATGGTTTCTCTTAAGCAGTCTGGGCAAGTTTGTTTGTTTGTTTGTTTGTTTGTTTGTTTGTTTGTTGTTTTGCTAAGAACAATGTTACAATTGTGCCTCAAACTATTGTACGGTTTACCTTGAAGGGGTTAGCTTATATTATGATTGAGTGAGCAGAGTATGGGGCAGAGGGAAATCCTTGGATACCTTATTCAGAGGACAAGTTCTGATAGCAACAAACACAGAAAACCTAAATATCTGTTTGGCTTCCCCACACTCCCGAAAAGGAAACAGAAAGCTAAATCATGCCATCATCCCCTCCATAGGTAAATGCCCTAAATGCACTTGAATCACTTAGTTTCTGCTACATGTGAGTTGGGAAGAGGAAACTGTGTAGGGGTTGCATAAGAGGAGGACATTGTACCCTCACTATAGCAGTGCTTGGTAGCCGCTCTCTCTGGAGCAGTGTGGAGGGGGATGTTTGAGCCAGGTGCGTAACAGGAGAGTTGTGGTGTGACCAGGCCCTTGACTGTGTAAATCCACTGACCAAAATACTTATGGTATGTATGCCTGAATGTAGAGGCTACAGTCATTACTATAGGCCATAGACTGCAGTAATAGATGCACTGGCCTTTCCTTCCCTACAATGGAGAATTTTCACCCTCACAGAGATTCTCTGTGAAAGGCCCATTTACTTGTGCTTTGCACTTTGTTCAAGATTTGTCCCACAGTCATTTATCTTTGTTTGTCTACTCCCTCTCCCTCATAATTTTACTTCGCTTTTATGCATTTTAGGGCTTCTGTGTCTTTTTAATATTTGTATTAACATTATATTATTATCCAAGTTAAATTTGCAGAAAACATTTTTATTTTTTTCACTTTTTTTTGGTAAATGATTAATAATGTGCTTTATAACATAGATTTGTGCTTGAAGGAAAAGAAATCCGTATCAATACATCCTGTGGAATCTTTATTACCATGAATCCTGGGTAAGTGACAATAAAAGCTAGACTTGTTTGAGACTGCCAAAGCATGAGCTTCAAAATTCCCCTTTGGTGTTCATACAGATTAAACTGTAGGCTACTTTTTGGCATTAGTTTATCTTCCAGATCAGTTCGAATATTTGTCCATTTAGTAACTAAAGAGTTACTCTCTTTTTTCTGTAACTTGCTCCAGGATCCGAAAGGAATGATGAGACTGTTTTTCCTAATTTATGGTCATCATCTGTCCCTTAAGGCTCAGCATGTTGCTTTCAAACATATTTGCTCAAAATTAAGAGAGCAAATTATTTTTCCTATAAAATAGTACACTATATTTTTCCTCAATATATTTTGTGTACCTTCTATGTCATGAATTCATCATTTCTTGCCTCCCCATTTCCCTCTCCCTCTTTATAGTCATAACATTTGTAACTTTTCCCCTGTCAAATGGGTTTATAATATATAGTAGTATTTGCCTCCTCTGCAAGTCATGTGATTCTTCCTTTATGAAATCTCTGAAAATCTGTTTTTTCTTCATCATCCTTGAACCCTAGTCTATGCTTTGGTAACCACTTGTCTCAGCTACTAAAACCCCAGGGATCGTCAGTATGCAGGCTGTGGGCCAAATCTGGACTGCCAGATACTTTTGAACAGAACCAGAAATATTTTTATTTATTTATTTATTATTATTATTTTCTCTGGAGTCTGGACCTTGACTTTATCTTGACCATAAAAATTGGACCTTGACAAAGAAGTAATTGACTTACTCCTGTTTACTCCATGGGCTCCCTGGCTTGTCCCCTTGCATCCCTGCAATCTATTCAAGACACTGCTGCCACAATTATCTTCCTCTTTGGCCACTATTGTTGACACTCCCATGTTTCAATCCCTGCATATTGGGTTCCAATCACTTATCACCTCAAATCTGAGCTGCTTGTCCTCCTTTTCAGCCTTCTGTGTCTGTACTTCTCAGATCTTATTTCTGCTTACCTCTCCTCTTATTGTCTGCTTTTCTCTCAAGTCACCTGCCTAGCAGCTGGTTTGGTATTCTTCTCCCACTTCAATGCTCTTTCTATATTGTCACAGATCTGGTTGAGTTCCCACTGTTGGACACTCACTAGACTGCTGTGAGGAAACCTAAATGTTGAATCCAGCTTGTCTTTAGCTTGCTGGGGCTGGACAGAGTTTAGTCCCAGTTGTGGCTTTGGGTACACACTCCAGGTGCAGATCTCAGGTCTGACACACCTTTTGTCAGTGGGGCCCCTGATGCCCCAGTTGCCTAGGCCCTGAAAATTTAGTGTCATTTCCCCCAAGCCTCTATAGCAGCTTTTGCACATTCCCTAGAATGCCAGCAAAGGCGCGAGTCTTCTGGCTTAGTTTTCCTCTTCAGGGGTACATGATAGTGAAAGCCAGCCAATAGATAGACTTTGCACAGGATTCTATTACATATTTTCTCTTTACTTAGTAACATGAGAAAAACACAGATCTATATAAAATAATTAACACACCTGTACACATATCCCTGCCTCAACCTCCTCTTCCACTGGAGAGTTCTTTGGGCTTGGTTAGAAGCCTACTGTTAGTATTCATGCCACGAGTGCACCCTGCCCCCAAAGCACAGCTGCAGATTATTGCCTAAAGGCTAATGCCCAGACTTAATGGGTCGTTGGACAGGATAGGAGACAGGTGCACCGCACTGGGCCCAGTGGTGGTAAGTCTGTAATGTTAAATGCCCCACTAACCCCAAACCAATGCAGGAACTTGGGCCCAGTGAAACTTGGAAGGAAGACACAAAGCTGATAGACGACAAGGACCAGATAGAATTGTCTGCTACTCCTGGGGACAGCAGCGATATAGGTTTAGTGACTGCTCATCCATAGAGTGTAACTTTGTGCACGTATGGACAAGAGAGAATAGGGCACAGAGAAAAGCCCTAGGAAATCTCACAATTCCAGAAGAGGCAAATGTACAGTGATTATGCTGCTCCATAGAATAAAAGTTAGGGGTGTGTCTGCATATGAGGTGTCTGAATCTGCATAGGTCTTACACTCTTCTAAAAGAGATTGGAAACATATCTGTAGATAATTAATTATCTCCTGCCTGTTTTTATACTAAAACTAATGGTTGTGCATGTATGCATTTGTATGTATTCAAAACATCTAAACTTAAGGGAAATTGTTATAACCTGGCAATCCTAAAGTAAATTATCTGCTGTGGACTAATTAAAATGTGTTGATGTAAACAACAAAACTTCACTATTTAATTCCCTTAGGATAACCAAAATAGGATAATACTATACTATAACTTTTTTTGTGTTTGAGAAATCATTCTTTAGTTTCTTACTATTCTAACTCCCAGATAATTAGTACAGATGTAACTTTTGAAGGCTTGAGTCATTTTCTTCTTCTTCTTCACCAGGTACAAAGGCCGAGTAGAACTCCCAGACAATTTAAAATCTCTATTTCGACCTGTCTCAATGATGGTACCAGATTATCAACTCATTGCTGAAGTAATGTTATTTTCAGAAGGTTTCAAATCAGCAAAGTCACTCTCTGGGAAATTGGTCAATCTTTACCAGTTGGCTTGCAATCAGCTGTCACAACAGGTAAAATATCATTTTCAGAATTAGAGAGACAAGAGGTAATATCTTTTATTGGACCAACTTCTGTTGGTTAGAGAGACAAGCATTTGACTTGCACAGAGCTCTTCTTCAGGTCTGGGAAACCTACTCAGAGCAACACAGCTAAATACAAGGTGGAACAGATTGTTTAGCATTAGTCAACACATAGTTCAAGGGACTATTCCATGTGAAGTGGACCATTCAGTCATGGGGGGGGGGGGGCGGAGAGAGGGGGAAAGGCAGCTGGGGAGGCATTGTTAGTGGGTTATAGATTGTTGTAATAAGCCATAATTCCTGGGGCTCCATTGAGTCCATGATTTTTAGTATCTAGCAAAGTTATAAATTTAAGCTCCCAGGCTCATCTTTTGAACATGTTCTGCAGGTTTCTTTTGAGACTGAGGATTGATAGGTCAGATGTAGAGTGATCGCTTTGTGAAAAGTATTCACCCACAGGTGATATGGTGTTTTTATCTTTTATCATTTTCCTGTGTGAGTTCATTCAAGAGGGTAGTAATTGTCTGGTTTCATCCACATAATTGTTGTTGGGACATTTAGTGCACTTAGTGCATTTAGTGCATTACTTTGCTAGACACTAAAAATCATGGCCTGAATAGAGACACTGGATTTATGGCTTACTAGAACCATCGGTAACCCCCCAGGTGCCTTTCCCCCTCCCTCCCTTGCTTCCCCCTCTATGACTATAGGTTTCAGAGGGGTAGCCGTGTTAGTCTGTATCAGCAAAAACAACAAGGAGATTAGAGGGGTGTTAATGAACCACTTCACCTCAAATGGTCCCTTGAAACAATCTATTCCATCTTGTATTTAGCAGACCTGGAGAAGAGCTCTGTGTAAGCTCGAAAGCTTGTCTCTCTCACCCACAGAAGTTGGTCAATAAAAGATATTACCTCACCCATCTTGTCTATCTAATATCCTGGGACCAACACGGCTTACAACTACATTGCATTTTCAGAATTGTATTTTATAGATTGCAGAATATACATGTGGAGAGTGAGGCTGCTTATCATGAGCACAGAGGATATGTGGAATTCATTTGTAGTTGATTTTGTAGCAGATTTTTTACAAATATCTCAGGGAACTCTATTAATACTAATTAGATTTTAAACACATTTTAAACAAACTTTTTTATACAAATTCTCTGCTTAGGCAACCCTTGTTTCTACCAGTTTATTTTTAAATTTAAAACATTTATTTCTTTTGGAGTTCCAAGAAACAGCAAAAAAACAGGTTAGGATTCTTCTGGTTCTTCTTTGAGTGATTGTTCATGTCCATTCCAAGCAGGTGTGTGCACGCCCGTGTACGCCAGCCAGAAGATTTTACCATAGCAGCGTCCGTAGGGTCGGCTTCGGCACCCCCTGGAGTGGCACCTTCATGGCGCCGTATATAGGGGCCCGCCGACCCTCCACCCCCTCAGTTCCTTCTTACAGCCGGTGATGGCTAGCTGGAACTTCGCTTGTTCTTTAGCAATCTTGGCAGTGTCCCGTTTTCTTCTTGTAAATAGTTCAGTTAGTTTTAGAGTTAGTATAGATAGATAGTTGTTGGGGGGTTTCCCCAACGTACTCGTTGCCCCGCTGGGGCATGCCCGGGTCCCCAGGGTTTAAACTCTGCAAGGACTGTGGGAAGTTCATGCTGAAGAGTGACCCGCACTCTTCTTGCCTATGGTGCCTCTGGGAGAGCCACCAAAGAGACAGGTGCACTATCTGCAGAGCATTTCGCCCCAGGACTCTCAAAGACAGAAAGCAAAGGCTCAAGGTATTGCTAATGGAAGCGGCCCTGCGGCCTCATTCGGACCCTGGGCTGGCCAACCTGGTGCCCAGTACTTCATCCTCGCTGCGCAGCGCCCCGGCACCGGTAATACGTCATGAGGCCAAAACCTCAAAACCCCAGCACCGGAGAGAGTTGGCAATAGGAAATCGGCATCAGTGAGGCACCGTTCACCATCCCCGGTGCCGGTTAAAAGGAAGAGGCCGGTGAGGGGATCTTCACCCCACCAGGACCCTAAAGGGCCGGTGCAATCCACGAGTGCTGCGAGACAGGCCATGCTACAGACTCATTCAGCTACTCCGTTGACTCCCGCCCCGGAGAGGGTATGGTTGAGTCCGGACAGGACTACATCCCCGGACCTCGTTGAGGAAGTGCGCCTCCCATCAACGCTGGGAGGCATTCGAGGCAGCCTCGGACTTACTAAGCCTCCCGGTGCCGGCATCACCGCACCGGGGGAAAGAGCCTCCGACCATGGCCCGGCCCTCTATACAATCATGGGGCAAGCCGGCTATGTTGTCGCCGTGGTCCCCGCACCGCACCACCCCAGCGGCACCAGAGCAGAGAGAACATTCTCCAGCCCAGCGGCACTGCTCTCCAGCGACGGTGGGTACTGCTCCCCTTAGGTCCTCCTATTCGGAGACCTCAGACTCAGAGGCGGAGTCGTACCGCTCCAGTAGATGGAGGAGCAGGCGGTCGACCTTGCAGGCGAGCCTCCAGCCTTATCCGCAGCAGTGGCAACAGCAGTGGCAACCGCCCCCCCAGTGGCCGTTCTGGACTCCCTGGGCCTACCATCAGTCCGTGGGACAGGTGTACGGGCCCCGCTCAAGGTCCACATCTGTCAAGGCTGCTTCCCCACTCTGAACTTTAGGGTACAAATGTGGGGGCCTGCATGAAAACTTCTAAGCTTAACTACCAGCTTAGATGTGGTCTGCTGCCACCACTCCCAAAGCTAATTCCCTTCCCTGGGTAGCCTTGAGACACTCTTTACCAATTCCATGGTTAATACAGATACAAACCCCTTGGATCTTAAAACAAGGAGAAATTAACCATCCCCCCTCCTTCCTCCCACCAACTCCTGGTGGATCAAGATCCAACCCTCTTGAATCTAAAAACAAGGAAAAATCAA